TGTGCTCCTTACAGTACTTAAATAATTTTGCATACATGTAATACCGCAGAGTTTCTCGCCGGTTGTCATTCAATAAGAGCCTAAAAATAAGCCTATATTGAATAAAGAAGCCTTGACTTTGAAAAAATAAACTTAGCTTTTCAAAAAAACCCATTTTGTAATCAAATAAATCCCGTGGCTAGTGAGAAGCATATATACAGCTGTCTCATTCTGCCCTATGGGCTAGACAAGGAACCCGTATTGTCATCAAAACATGACAGAATTTCATCAAGTCTGAGGTAATGGCCGCTGAAGTCTGGACCTCTGACCTTAGATCAGTAGACAGTAGAAAAAGACGATTGATTTATGACATCACAAAATCCCTACTTCTATCGTTATTGATGATTTCCCTTTGCCTTATAATAATCCCCGTACGAAATTCAATGAAAATTAATACAGTTGATGACTCCGTGGCGCAGTTGCCAAGAGATTGGCTTCGCCGTCGGGGATCGTGGGTTCGATTCCCACACGGGGCAACTATTCGTGTGACCCACAGATAGTCGTTTCGCATCTGGGTTTGTCCACGTGAAATGTATGTGTATAAACGTCCATACAGAATAATGTAATCCAAAAGTAAGAGCAATGTTTTAAAAAAAAAAAAAAAAAATATAATTTACAGCGCTATACATGCTATATGTGCTACACAAAAAAAAACTCTTTATATTGCATTATTTTTTTACTTATACTTTATTTAAATGAATGGCGTAAAATCTGTTGTAACTCGTTCAAAGCAACATGAGCTTAAACACGGTTTCTTCCTTAATGTTAGTCTTTTACCGTTTAATATTAAGATTTATTAAACGTTTACATACCGTATTGCTGAATTGTAATACCATTATATTAAAAAACCGTCCCGCGTAGTGACTCACAATGGCAAGTTCATTCACCTGCGAAACAAGTAATATACGTAAAAAGGAACAAGTTTTTTGACGAATAAAAATGTCGCCTGTCATAAAAAATATCGCCAAAAGTCGATAATAAAACGCCAGTTTCGAAAATGGAACGCCATGTTACAGACTTACCTGTTTGCTGGGCGTTTGATAGTGTGCTCCCGTGCACATAAGAACCAACCAATTGATTCGAAAATGCACTTTAACCGGTTGGAATAAAATGTACAGTTCATGTAGCGATGTCCAAATAATTCTTATTCCAATTAAGACTATTAAAACTAGAGTAAGACGATTTTTTCACAAGAAGGCAATAAATTATTTAGTACATATTAAAAAGATGGGATGTGGGATAAATCCAATCATCGAGTGCATCGACGAAATGAAACCAGTTATTTTATTTGAATAGTTTGACAGCAGACCGTTTATTAATTTTAACTCTTGTTTGTCCAGTAGTCGAAGTTCGACTGTTAAAAATGAAATTTTATTATTTTTTTATCCAAATTATATAAATCAAACCAACATTTTATTATTTGTTTGACTCTCTCTCGATGGGTCTGCTTAACTAATGTTCATATTATGTGCATGCATTTTTAATACAATTATTATTTATAAATTTTAGCTCTCTTCACTTCTTCATAAAAACTTTAACTGTGGCTAATCTCAAGGGAGGAGCCGACTTATTTTGGGACTAGAGAACGTTGTGTAAAAATGTGTCCAAAAAACCTCTCTCTATCTATGTGAAGAAAAATAAAGATTTTTCTTCACGTAGTTAGTCTTCTTTGCCATTTACCAAATGAGAGCTCAGAGCCAATTTTACCATCTTCTACATCTTCTCTTAAAATGTCATTAAAATGAGTAACGCAATAATAAAAGGAGGCTTTAACTTTTTTAACTTCTTATAAAAATATTCGGGCTCCCCTGGAAAGTTTCGAAATAATAACACAAAAAATATTTCTAACATGGGGGTGGTATCCATGGTATGATATCACTTAAAATCAGGCGAACTGCCATCTCGCTAGCCACCTTCTCACATAAACAAAAAAAATACATGAAGTCCGCCAATCCGCAGTGGGGCCGCGTGGTGGACTATGCCCTGATACCCTCTGTACAGAGGAGGCCTTTGCCCAGCTGTGGGACATGTATAGGCTGATACTTCATCGTTATCTCTTTTAAAATTTTTACACAAATACAAAAAAGAGAGTACGGCGATTTTGCGTCTCATTTAATATGCATGTCGCTTATTAAAATGTATTTAAAGATGGCTGCGTTCAAAACAACGATTAAAATCTTGCATATTCATATAAAAATTAGCATTATATTAATTATTAAAATTTTAATGAATTTTAAACAGATTACGCGATAAATTCCTAACACTGAACGTAAGTTAAAAAAGTTGAAACGCATACTTCTTTAAACCGGAAAAAACTTAATCAATATATTGATTCATAATAAAAATCATCTTGTATTAACATGAATATTACACGTTGTTAAATAAAACTACCTATCTGCATATATCAAGTACAATTCTGGCTTTATTTCCAGGCGTTTCGAGAACTTTGCAAATATTAATCCTAAATTAAATCGATGAATACGCATCTTGTATTCACATAAAAATAGTTTGCCGATTTTATCGCGTAATATTCCGGTTTTAACTCCCAGACGTTTCGAGAACTTTGCACAGGTAATGTTCTGTCCCGAGATTCTTTATTGGACAATTCGAAATATTGTTGTATTTATTAATTTATTTATTGAATTACCAACGCAAGTAACAGTCGCTATAGTCTAACTTATACAGGCTTGAGATATATACCTAATTTTTTTATATAACTTTTTATTTGTAACTGTTCTTACACTTATAGGTAACCATCATGCATAATATTATATAATATTTTTTTAATAATACTGAGTTTTAATAATTACAGAATGACTTTTGAATAATTACATTTCAAGACGGATGTCGCATAATTTTTATCGTGATGAAATTCTTCTACGTGTGATTATATTTTTTTTTGTAGGCAATTTTTTATTCGTTAGTTTAGAGTATTCAACTGCAAATAGGGTTGAAACCTGTAGTGATTAATGTGTCATCATGTTAGAATAACTGGCGAGTGATTAAACAATTGACTTGATGATAAGCAATCGTCTCTCGAAGAAATAAATAAATACTTGCACAAAAAAAAGAAATCTCTTTGTGAAGTTTTCCTAACCCTTCAGTTTTGAATATATAAGAAAATTCCTTTAAAGCGCATTAGAATGTCAAAAATCAAGATGGCGTCAATCGTTTCTTAGTACGAAAATGTAAAAAGGATGTAATTTGTGATATGGATAGATCATACATAAGAAATGATTCGCTAAAAATATATACATAATAGTTTTGAAATAATAATATGGGAAGGATTACAGTTGTACTAGATGTAGCTACATTTTTAAATTTATTGCTACATATGTGTACATAATTAAAACTAAAGAAAATCAATTGAAGTTAAGAAATCAAATGGCTTAATGAAAGGACAAATAAAAACTTATGGTAAAGGAAAATATTCGACTAATACAAATCAAGTACCAACCCACTGTTTTAGTTAAGGTAGATTTTAAAGCTGTATAGAATATAAAACAACAATTTATGTTCTTTAAAACAAAGAACAAAAGTAGATGGATAAACAATTTAAAGATAATACCTACTATAAAATGTTTTTGTCTTTAAGAGAAAAAAAAAAAATAAAGCAGCCACTTTCGCATCGTATTCAAACTGGCAGCCGAGTCTCGATTCTCGAATGCGATTGAATTCGAATATCATATTTGGATTTGGAACGCTCGTAACCGGTTGCCCTTGTAATAGTTGGCCGATGTTATCAAACGCCCAGCGTAGTTGACCCGTGTCACAGGGCTATAAACTCTTTATGTCGTTAAAGTTAAAGAATGAGCTGGTGTTACCGTGGTTCTTTTTAAGCTGGCTGTAAGTCGTCGGCAAGTGCAGCGCGAACGAAAATATACGACGCGCCGAGTTGTTTTGCCGCCTTATCACTGACTTCAAAGAGTAGAAATAAAAGGGACATTAAATTTGTGCTTATTTTAATAAATACTCCACGATGTTTGGAAAAAAAAGAAACACCTAAATGCATTATTACGATGGAAGTTTGTTGTAGTCGTATATTGAATAATTATAATGGGCAAACGACAAACCTTTTCTTTAAGTTAACATCAAACAAAAAGTTTTTATGGCCTATAATAATATTTACGCCTCGATATTGAAAAAAGGTTTTTGAGTGTCATTTGTTCGTTAGTCCTAACTTAATGTTTAAGATATTGAAACAACAGCAGTGATTTAAAATTTAAGTTATAATGTTTATTTTTAAAGAGCGGATTGAAAAAAAATCTTAAATTGTCGTGAACGTTTACAAAAGGGGAATCGCTGTCCCGAATCATATGAATACCTACCTGTCCCGTGCGAGAGTGGAATCGGCATATGGCATAGAAGAGCTCGAGCAAAGAATCGCATTATGATGCAAATCATTAAAATATGTAATACAGTACATTCTTTTATTGCTTGGAATCATACTGATACAACAGGACTATAGATTTTTTTTAATATAAGATGGCAAGAGAGCTCCTGATATCAAGTTATATTTAACAACACCCGTAGGGTTGCAGATGCGTTGCCACCTATCAATAAAGTGGGTTACCTCACTCACATGACGAAACGTAGAAGTATTCTCCACTTCTGTGAGTTCACGGTTTCACGGTTCCTCACGCCAGCCTTCTATGAGGTCGCGGTACTGCGGTCCCGCGACGGACCTACCCATCCTTAACACAGCGAAGAGTGCTCCGTGGCCCTACCACAGTAAAACCCATACATCATCATTTGAATAATTTATTATTTTTAATACTTTATCTTATTATTACATTTAGTACTTAGTATAAATTCCAAAATTGAACAGAGTATTTAAGTAATTGGAGTAATAAAGTTTAATATACAAAAATTGCATGAACCGTCGCGCTGTCGTCTAATCTGTGGCGTGGGTGTCGCGGGCCGCGCGGGGCGGGGGCGGTCTCTCGGCCGCCAACTTAAAAATGCCGCCGCAGAGCCTCCGAATCGATACGGCGCGCGTCACGTGCCGCCGGCCGCGACCAATCGGCGCGCGGGCCTGCCGACGGGTGAGTAAGGGGAGTGGAGGGGGGGAGACGCGGGGCGGGCGGCTGCGTCCCCCGTCACTCCAGTTCGTGAGGTGACGTCGAGTAGGACGCACGTACGCAGCCCGGCGCGGTCGCGATTTCACCCGAGAACCGGTCCGATGCGTGCCGTGCCGTTTCGTGTTCGCGGTTAGTTCAGTGACGCGATGAGTGCGTGGACCGAGGACGTGATCTCCTGGCGCGAGGAGAGGCTCGGCATCACCGAGCTGCCGGTGCAAAGCACCAACCGTCGAAAGCTGCGCAGCGCGCCGTACAGGCTGCACAGGCCCCATTTGCCAGTGCCGCATGTCACTGAGGTTGCACCGGAACCGGTGGGCACGCATATATCGAGGCTGTACCCAGAGCTTCTCGCTTTGATCTTCGAACGGCTGCCTGTAAGGGACAGAGGCCGGGCGGCACAGGTGTGCCGCGCGTGGAGGGACGCGGCGGACCGTCGTTCCGTCTGGCGAGGCGTAGAAGCCACTCTACATCTGCGGCGGCCCGCACCGGTGCTCTTTGCGTCGTTGGCTAGGCGCGGAGTAAGGAGACTGCAAGTGCTGTCCCTTAGACGAGGCTTGAGGGACGCCGTCGTAGCGCTGCCAGGCCTCGAGTCCCTATCGCTGAGTGGCTGCTACAGCGTTACAGATGCGGCCCTCGCGAGCGCATTTGCGGCGGAGCTACCTGCGCTGAGGCGTCTGGATCTCTCCCTCTGCAAGCAGGTCACGGACTCCTCTTTGGGTAGGATAGCGCAGTCCTTGAAGAACTTGGAGGAGCTCGAGCTGGGCGGATGCGGCAACGTAACGGACACAGGCCTGCTTCTGATCGCGTGGGGCTTGCGGAAACTGCGCCTGCTGAACCTGAGATCGTGCTGGCACGTCACCGACCCGGGTATAGCGCACCTCTGCGGCGGCGGGGAGGCGAGAGGCACCCCCGAGCTGGAGCATCTAGGCCTGCAGGACTGCCAGCGGCTGACCGACGAAGCGTTGAAGCACGCCTCGGGCGGACTCCCACAGCTGAAGTCGATAAATCTGTCGTTCTGCGTCGCCGTGACGGACGCCGGATTGAAGCATCTCGCGCGGCTTCCGCTCTTGGAGGATATCAATTTGAGGTCTTGCGACGGAGTGTCCGACACTGGCGTGGCGCATTTGGCCGAGAGCGGCCGACTGAGGGCCTTGGACGTGTCGTTTTGCGAGAAGGTCGGCGATGAGGCACTGCTGCACGCGACTTTAGGCCTATCCGGGCTGCGCTCGCTATCGCTGAGCGCCTGCAGAATATCCGACGAGGGCCTGGAGAGGGTGGCCAGGCTAACGCAGCTGGAGATCCTGAACATAGGGCAATGCCACCGGATAACCGACAGGGGTCTGCGAGCGCTGGGCGACGGCTTGCAGAACTTGAAGGCGATAGATTTGTATGGGTGCCCGTGCATAACACCGCAAGGCTTGGACCACATCGTGAAACTACCAACGCTCAGTGTGCTTAACCTCGGTCTGTGGCATGTGCGGTGACCACATACGTGCTAGTCTGTGTTAAAACGTTTCTCTGTTAGTGTCCGCCATGTTGAAAGTGAAGGAGCCATCAAGGTTGTACACTGGACAGCGAATAAATGAATTAACCAATTTTTAAGATATTAACAAACTACCTATCGAATTATATTTAGGAAACGGGGTTACTTTCTTTTGCTAGCGTTTCGGATCGAGTCGTGTTGTGTTGGAGTTTGTTAAGTTGATATTCCATTCTGTGATTTTGACTGTCCATTTTTTTTTTTATTTGTTGTGTTTGAGGAAAGTCGCCCCTAGGCCTAGTCGCTACGTTAACTCAGACCTTTTTTGATTCTTTTCTCTAGTAATAACATATTAACTATTTTTACATGTAAGTAATTATAAATATGGTAATAATTACAAAAGGTCTGGTTTTACACGTAATTGCTCCATTAGTTAGATATTTAGCCACTCTTATAATTATTTTTAATTCGACCTCCTATTAGTAAATCTTTGTTACATTTTCGTATTTAATTTGTGTAAAACTAAAAAGAGATTGAAAGTTTTTAAAATGATACAATTTAATACATCATTTATTCTCGAGCCCAATCCACCAAACCCAAACACGAACCCGTGTTAAAACACTTTTTTATTTTTGTATGTAAGTTCGATACAGGAAAATGTAGATAAAATGGCACTATATACTATTGTAGTTATATAAGCCCATCCCAGCCAATCGTTAAATTCTTCCTTTGACAAACCGGGTCATACTATGACCAGTAACGAAGCCTTTCAATCTCAATCAAAGATCTCGATTATACGTAATTTTTGATGTTATTTTTTTAGTTATGTTTTTTATCGATTTACCATCTTTACTCCCGGGTCGAATTAAAAATTACGTTTAAATTATCTGTGCAGCTGCTTAACTATAATGTCTTATTATATTAAAACTAAAAAGGACATCACTGATTGAACTAGGCGATAAAAGAATAATATTTAATAATACGTAGTTGGTTATCATTTTCTGACTAAATTAGATATTTGTTGCTCATGTCGAAGAACATTTTCTGTCTCTTTTCATCGTGAGCATGTCTCTTTCTGTGAACTCATTCCGTATAGTTTCACAGATAATTTGAACGTCCAATGCATACGTTGTATACTTAATGGATACGTTGTTTTTGTACAAAAGGAATGTAATATAGGTGAAAATGTATTAAAAGTCATTGTTTAAGTTCAAATTATTTATGCAATTTCATTTTAATCTCCTCGTCATCTCAATGCGATTGCCATATCAGTCCAAAGGGCTGTCCTGTTCAAGTATGTATTTAAACATTTTAGGACACATTTTTACACATCGTTCTCTAGTACCAAACTAAGCAACGCTTGTACTATGGGTACTAGATAACTGATAAACTTAAACAAATACTTAAACATACTTTACGTATACAAATATTTAAAACCATACTTAATTTTTTTTTCTTTTGTAAATCAATACATATTATACATATATAAACACTCACACTAGAAAAACACTATGTTCATCACACAATATTTTTCCAGTAGTAGGAATCAAACCGTCAAATGAATGTCGTCAAAATGTACAAGATTGTCCTAGCTACAAGTAGGACATTTTAAAACATTTTGGATCTAGCTTTACTAGCTTCCGTTTGTAACGTTAACTAATGGACGCCTTTGGAAGATAATTATGTTAAAAACTTTATTTTTATTTTATCTTTGCGTAATTTTTGACTTTCATATATTTTTTTTATTCTCCGTATTTGCAAAAGTACAGAGTAAAGATGGCTAGTTTTTGTCGTCAGTTGATGAAAGAAACCTAAAAAAATAAATCCTTTCATCTCGTGACATCACTACATAGTTTAAAACAAAGTCGTCCCGCTGTCTATCTGTCCCCATGTATGCTTAGATCTTTAAACCTACGCAATGGATCTTTTTCTATCTACGGACGTTTTTTTTACTAGAGCATGATTCAAGAGGAAAGTTTATATGTATAATACACTGCACGCGTGCGAAGCCGGGATGGCCGCTAGTATCAATTATAATGAATTATTTTTGTTTATCGTTAACCTAGAGGTATAGTAATTAACCCAATCGTTGTTTCCAGTGAAAATCTAATAGCTCCGTTAACCGAAAACTATAAAAATCTCGTTTACTTTCTGTTGCTTATCTTTGATTATATACTTGAAAATATATATAATCAGATATAATAGTATATAATCAAAACTTTTAATGTAAAAGGATGGCAAGCGTGATTCGGTCCTTTATGTTATTTTTATCGGTGCTGGACATATGCAACCCATTCGGGAGAGCTTGCTGTGTTGCCAAACTTAAAAAAATGTTCGGTCGTTGGGTTTTGAGACTGGTATTTTCCCGAAAGAGCCTGCCCAACCGTGAACTGTTGAATGGCCCTGCCATAGTCTCATATCCTTTATGATCGAAGATCATGCAACTTTATACACTTACAAGTTTAAAATAACAAATAATATATCTATAATTTGCAATAAGAATATCAAGACAACAATTTAATTTAAATGTAATTTTTTATCATTAATTTGCTTTTAGCCCGCGGCCTAGCTAAGCGTTGAATATTTTTTTTTATACATTAACAAACACCGTTCTAAACATTTACTGCTATTATTATATTATGCTATTCTTTAGCTGTGAGCTCTGTGTCCGGGCGCTCGCCTTTATTTCAATATCCTCCAGCAACCGGAGTTTAATCCCCGGTGCCGGCACCAATAAAATTGTAAATTTTGAATGCTGGCTTATCACGTGCTTAGCGGTGAAGGATAACTTCGTGAGGAAACCTGCATATTTTCGAATTAATGACAAAAAAAATATATTTCGAAGACATATCTTCAAGTCTGCATATCCGCAGAGGGGCCGCGTGGTGGACTTTGCCCTGATACCCTCTGTACAGAGGAGGCTTTTGTCCAACAGTGGGAAATGTACAAGCTACTTCTTTACCATTATATTATTCTATTTAGATTTTAACCTTTTTACTAATGGCATGTATATTCAGCCCCAATTTTTTCAATTTCACTATAGTGAGTCGATTCAACCGCGGCGACACATTCTGTAATAAAGTCGAGGAATATGTTTTGTTTTCATGAATATTTTCCCTCGGAAACATTCGCCGTTCGACGTTCAAAAAGATAGTAAACCGGTTGCCAGGTGCTTTCGTTTTGGCACCGTTTTCTTTAATTATTCCAACAACAAAGAAGTGTAGACTGCAAGCTGCCTAAAATTAACAATTTTTAGCTGTTTTAAAATAAATTCAATGATAGAATAAAAAACTTTTAACAATATTCTATTATGGATATATTTTACAAATATATGTTTTAAGATTGGACATTTGGGAATTATGATAGCTAAAACTATTAATTAACCCATAATAATTATGTATTAAATAAGTGATTGAATAATACGAATGATCGTCGACGGAAAAATAATTATTTTTAATAACTGTCATTCCTTGAAACAGATTAAAAATATTTTTAACTGCATTTTTGTTTTGTATCAGTATATGTTTAAGAACAAAAAGTCTAGAAAGAGCTTTTATTTTTATCTTTTCAATAAAACGATGGTAACTGGCACATAAAATAAATGTAGAAATATAATTTTTCAACCAACCGACTAGTGCCTACCGGTTTCTCCTCGATGAACTCATTTTTAAAACTATTCAGCTGCTTATCCGTAGAATATTCTAAAATGTTTAAAGTGTTTATTTTATGCATATTTATAAGTAAACAAAGCGAAAATTCTACTTCTTTATCATTTGACATTTCGGTATGTCAAATAAATCGCCCGCGCCGCATTTATTATAGACAGTTAATGTCAACTGTTGTACTAAGGTCATTTTACATTATTTCACAGCGAAAATCTAAAATTTATCACGGTACGATTCAACGAAACCTTACGGTTTATTGAATAAAATTTATTCAGTCATAAATAATAACATATTAAACTAAACTTTATTTTCAATAAATCTTTTCTTCGTAAAGTAGTATCCTTGAATTATAAACAGACATTATTTCATACGAAAGCTGCACTTTCTTTCACTGGGAATTATCTAAATGAATTTTGAGCAATGAAGTAAACTTTCAGACACTCTGGGACATCACAGGGTATAAGAATGACAAGAAAAATTTTAAAACACAATAAAGGTGCAATAATATAAATAATGTATATCAAAAAATATTTGAAATGTCAATCTAATAATAGAAAGAATTCTTTATAATAAAAATTTTCTTACTTTTCATATAGGTGCTCTCTAAACAGGAATTGATTTTGCTTTTTTTTTTCAACAATAGAAAATTTAAACCGGTAACAGGCGACCACGGTTTAGTGCCTAATAACTGTAATCTTTCGTCTTTTGTTTTTAAATAACTCGTGTCTTTAACGTTTTATAGTTGCCTTTTGCAAACATCTGCTATAATGTTCCATTGTTGAATTTTTCGACAAAACAAAAAGTTAGAGCGGATGACAACGGACTGATTTTAGTCATAAAGACGGTTATTATTGTTTTTATTATGCGTTGTATAGTATGTTTAAACGGGATTTTTTTAGGAGTTTCTATTTGAATTGTCGACCTTCGCTATTTATTATTAGAAATATTTTCGATTGTTAAGTAGTAAAATAGGACCTATATTTAACAGTTCGACAAATGTCGCCAAATTATTGACAGAATTTCAATTTTAGATCGAACAGAACTGACATAGTAAAAAAGCATAGCGGTTCATTTAGCCTAAAATTCCGTACACTAATATTTCACTGCATAGTATAAAACAAAAGTCGTCCCCTTGTCTGTCTGTCCCTATGTATGCTTAGATTTTTAAAACTTAATGCGGTTTTTTTTATTAAATAGAGTGATTCAAGAGCATGATTTGCGATGGTCGCTAGTTGCGAATAAAATCAAAATCATTTATTCATCGACATAAGAACTTTTCATTTCATCTATCGATAGTCATATTATTTTTTTAAATCTACCACCGTATCGAAAAGGG